TTCTTTCAGAAGATTGAGACAAAAAAAAGAAACTGAAATATGAAGAAATATGAAAACAAAAAATGTATAGAAAACAAAGTCTGGTGGTGAAAAGTTGAACCAATTGTACAAACACTCTATTAATGAAAACTAAAACACAAGCGCTATTTGTAGCTATGTTGTTGTCTTTGTTGAGCTGATCTTATATGAGTGAAAGACCCTTGTCGTCCTCATCAACCTTTTTTCTTTTTTTCTTAAAAACCGCAAGTCTGATTGCTTTGATACTACACTTATAGGCACCTCAGGTAGACCTCTCTCAGATTTGTTCATTTCGTGATGATATCTTCAATTCTCTAATTTTGATGAATATTTTGGTAATTTTTGGTAAAAGGTGATATTTTCGACTTCTTGTTGAAAACCTCATGTGGACCTTTCTCAAATTTGTTGTTGGGGCTCTAACAACTGTTTAAATAAGGGGCTCTAACAACTGCTAAAATAAGTGGATGTATGGTACAGATTATCTGAAGTTACTTTCAGGAAGTTCCCCATTGTAAAAGACGCAAAAATATCCTTCTTTGCGAGGACCTAATTATCTCATCATTCACATAAGCACCCTCAAAACAAAATAAAAATAAAAACATTGTTTGCTTGAGGTTTCGTATGTATATGCCGAAAATCTATTCACAGCAGATTCTGTACCCAGATATAAAATATCACTCTACAGGCAAGATGACCTTAAACGGGCAAGGCTTACATAGTTTCTCTATATTTTGTTATTCTTATTTCACATCAAATATGATGAATTAATGTTTTATTTACTTTTTTTATTTCCAGGAACATCTAATTGGTCTGGTGACTACTTTGTGTCCACAGGTGGAATTGGATTTGTAGTTAACCAAACCAGTAACCATAACGATGACTCTTTGGAAGATGAAAACTTCCAGAAACAGTTATTAAGTGTATTTGAAAGAGACTGGTATTCAACATATGCAACAAATATTCCGTCAGTCTAAACAAGTGTCTTTTATTTTTCTAAATATTAATTATATATATCCAAGTAGATATTTAGACAGCTGTTCTTTCATGGCTGAAGTCATAATACATGTAGTAATAATTATAATAGCAATAATATTAATATAATAATAATAATAATAATTGTGGTAGAAAATAGACCCAACTTGTGGAGGCTGATATTTCTATAGTAGTGTATTTTAATTACAGACCTTAAAATGACAATTTCCTGCATATAATATATAAAACAACATAATCTTGGGTGTGGGAGCATGACAAAAATTGCAACTACGAAAATCAGGGCTGGAAACATTTTGTAATAATATAATTTTTGTAATTTTTGCAATAATAATAATGTCTATAATAAAAATAATTTGGAAAATAATAGAATAGAAAGGCAGTGGTTGTCATACCACGTTCTCTTTGATATGGGACTCGTTATGACATACCGGTATGTAAAATACATCGTTTATTTACATGAAATTTATGACGACTACTACCGGTACACTGTATTCGACAGGTAGGGAAGTCTGAATGTATTATCGTGCAGATAGGAAAGAACCAACAAAATAACTAATGTGAAAACAGAAAACAAGAGACGGGTACATACAAAGAAAAAAATGTCCAGTAAGAAGGATAGTCTATTTTTGATTCTCTGTTTATATACTCTTTATACCATCGCTGATATTTTTTGTACTCTTGTTAATACTTTTTGTATATTTCCTGAAATAGAAATTTGTTTGAAATATTGAAGATGTTTTTCACCTTTTTATAAAGAACAAGTTATGAATAAAATGAAGTACATATTTCTATATTTTATTTCTATATTATATTTTATTTTGTAAACGTGCATTGCACAAATGCTTTCTATCGGAAAATAAACAAACTGTATTCACTTTTCTGATTAAGTCTTCCACTACTGTCATACCTTAGGTGTATTGAAAGACTAAACTTTTAGATGCTCTGGTTGCCTGCTCCAAAACAAGTGAGGGTCAACACACATAACATTTTCCTTTGTTTTTCGAGATAAGTTACTATTTTATGTAACTTTATCAACAGTTACATGCCATTGAACATGTCACATTGCCAATACAAGTCAAATGTTTTGTGTTTTTTGTTGGAAAGTCCCTGGACTATACATTTAGTACAGGATAAAACTCTTGTACGAGAAATCTTCAAAGATATGAAGTCTGACTCGAGATAGAGTGTTGGGGCTACAGGACTTCACATGATCTACCATGCTTCAGATGCTAGTAGCTTAATGGATATCGTGTACTATTGCAATCGCACATGAGCCCTGGGTGTTAACCCAGCCAATGTGTCTTATTTTTTTTGTAATGAAGTAAAACTGGAGTTGAATTGAAGTATATATACGGAGGAGAATTTGATGTGTTGAAAAAAAAAAAACATGTCAACAAACAAACTGCTCTCTGATTGGTTGGATGGTTAGGTGCTAAGTTTGGGTAGCCAACCAGAAACCATCTTGTAAGTAGCTTCGCATTGACTCTAAATCAGTGTTTCATTTTTGATGCCACTAGATCAGTGGCGGATCTAAGGGGTCCTTGGCGTCCGGACGCCCCCCCCCCCCATTGAAAAATTTATTCAATTTGGTTTTGTATAATATAAAAAAATCATTAACTTAGTCTGGCGATTTTAAAGTTTGGACCCCCTCCATAAAAAAATCCTGTATCCGGCCCTGTAGATACACATTTTATGAGAAAAATGGGACATTTAGTGTATATAATGTGCCGCATTGGGGCATTCCGATTGGTCAGAAACGCATCTTTCACCATAACGCCACAAGTTACAGCATTTACCATATTAGGAAATGCGTATTCCAAATATGGAACGATTAATAATAAAAACAAACATGGCTGCACACAGAACGAAGTTTGATCGGACCCCACACCAAGAAGTTTGCTAAATATCAGCATACAACGTTATTCAAACACCTGGTGTTAATTGAACATCAAGTTTATGATTTGGAAGTGGTTTCTAAAATATGGACGTGGTCATTTTTGTAACTCAATTTTTTCGTAACTCTGTCCATAACTCGAACAATTCAGCATCCCCACAACCAATTACAGTTGTTTATTTGAACGACGTTGCCTACACTCGTATACGTCATTATGACGCCATAGGAGCATTCTGTCACTAGAGGGCGCAGATAATAGAAATTGTGTATTACGGCGTACACTAACAGTGTTTTAGATGTTCGGTAATTTGAGTTGAAAGATTTGTTTTATAATCTTTGAAAGGCCGTAAATCAATAGTATTAATCGACGTGCATCGATTTCATATTGTGAATATTTGGAATAAGTAGTGCTTTATAACAACTGGTTATCTGATTGTGCATTTGTCAAACAAAAATACATGTACGTAGAAATAAAATCGGTCATAATCGCAAATTTTATTTGCTGGTAGTATATGTGATTGATCATGTTTCCGATATTTCTCATTACATGTACGTTTAATTCGTGGTTTTGAAACTTCTGACAAGCACAATAGTTGTAATCAAACAGATTCTTAATTAATAATCAATTAATCAATAGACTCTCGCAACTTCACCTCAAGAGGGCGATAATTCCAATGGACATCCATCTTGTTAACAGCTTTGACATGAACGTTCCAGCAATTAAAACATGCATACATTTGCATGTATCACAGCACATAGTATATCGGTGTTTTTTCTCTGTCAAAACAATTCTGCCCTGAGATGTGATATTACTGACTGTACACCTTATTGATCTTTAGACTGTCTATCAAGATTATAGCGACCTGGCAATAACACAACTACCGGTCTTCCACAGTTTATTATTAGTTAAGCCACAGTCCCTCTATCCCTCTCCCTCTATAGAGGGACTGTGGTTAAGCCTTACGTTAACTCGCAGAAAATGGTGTTGATACTTTCAGAACTATTTTTCTGGGATTCAACTGGTATTGGCACATGTTATATCTAGTAAAACTCACTTTTTATTTCACCATGCGGCCTACAAATCATATAAGAAGTATATATACATTTCAATTTCATCGGGAATAATTTATTATTTTATCGAATCAATATGTTCGAATACAATATTTACCAATATTTACGAGGTTTGTAAATCCCACATAAATTCTAACATTTGTAAAGATGTATTTCTAAAAGCTATAAATATACTCATTGAGTACCAGTATAATATGATATCGTACGAACCACACGCTGCCCCAGAGAGCCCAGTTTTAATCTGATCCTCATATCCTCATCTCGGTACAGAACTGTTCTATAAATACCACATTGCATACAGAAATGCAGATTTCTGTTCTATCGTCACACCCAGTAGAGCCATTATTACAGTGGTCGCCATAACGGATACGATGGAAAGGGACCAACGATACACTCAGGTAGTTGTGGTTTAATTACACGTCTGGAAAACGTGTGTGTCAGGCGTAAATTAGGACTGTGGCTGCAACTAATACACGCAGATCATTATTATTATTTGTACTATTTAGTTCCCTCTTGATATTCCATATGTGGTCATACAGATTTCAATTCTTTAGTTTTTAATGCACTTCTTTTTACATGTTAATAACAGTGTATGGGGAAATAATATTTTCTGTATTATAATTATACTTTATATTAATTTAAATTTTCAGTTATTATTATTAAATTTATTTTATTATATGTTGTTCTATTCAGCAGTTATCAGATGAACAGCCGTACCAAAGCTCTAATCGCCCGCTGCTGCTTAACAGTGTCGATCTTGACGACAGTAAACCGAACGAAGAGAATGAAGTCAAGACAAAATTAACTCCAACATCTATAGTCGTCTCATCGTTTGTTATTATACTTGTTGTCACAATATTGATTGTTTTCTGCCTTCATGATATCAAGAGATTGGCTCCTCCTGGCAAACCAACATGTGATGACCCGTGCAAGTATGTTTCATTTCATCTAGTCCATAAAAATGACGCGGTATAAAGCTATATCCTTAATATAATGCGTTAAGGGACGACGTCAAAAGATCGATGTCGGATAAAAAACTTAATTCCTTTAGTTTTTTTTCAAACCCCCCTACCCCCCACTGAAACTTAATTGATAAATATTGGTCATGGCGTCAGACTACATTCACCATTAAATACAAATTGATAATCGGACAGTAGTATTGCATAGACGTTGGTTGTCGGGTGGGTGTAAAAAGATTTTACAAATGCACCTCATTTGACGCACAGATTTACACTCGAACCAAACCATTTTTCTGTTTTTTTCCCTTTTCGCTTATTTCTGTCCATGATTGGATAGAAAAAAAACGAACTACAAATACTCCAAGATTTTTTTGACTTCATTAAAAAATAAAATCGTTTTTGTAGGATGGAAACTTTTTGAGGTTAAAACCCCCCACCCCCAAACTAAAGGAAATAAGTTTTTTATCCGACATCGATCTTTTGACGTCGTCCCTAACTACAACTATAACAATCAACTTGATTTGAAATATATCCAGTGTAGCGCCAATTGAGAATTATACATATTTTTATATAATTCACTGCTGTTTGTATATAATTGTGCATTATTATTCACCACTACCCCACTCGCAAGTAAATTCACTTTAACAAAACAAAAACAAATTCAACTAAATTTATTTATATCTGATGGAGGTATAACAACAGTGATGATTCCACAACGGGGTCATATTGAATTCTGAGAAGGGTCCACGTCACGCGGTTTCACCCTCACACAATATCTTGCCGACCCATCTCCTTATTCAATATGGTATTGTGGGGGATTCAATATTATTTAAATAAGTTCATGCATTCATTCAATCAACACGTTATGTTTATTTACTGTACTTTTATATTATTTTAACCAGAATCACAATAGTTGAAAGTATACCAGAAAATCACACCTATGTAGAAGGATCTCCCACGCATTTATCACTATTTCAAGGGTGGAAGAATTTGATAAGCATTTCAGAAGATAGTATAGATATTGCGTCACATTACTTTTCTTTGAGAGGGGTTGATGTGGCACCAGGCCCCTCTGCTTGGCAGGTAAGTTGAACTTATTAAATAAGCAAACATGGCGGCGATGTCAACATATATGTTGACCTCTGACCTCAAATGTTGGTGCCGCATAAACATAAAATCTTTATGCATGCTGGTTACCTGTAATGCACATTTATATTTTTCTTCCCCTCGTGTAATACTCAAGTTGATCAATTTAAAATTTTGAGACAACTAAATAAACGTTTTCAGGAGGGGAAAGGGGGGCTAGCTGGTACCGGTTACAGGAAATAAAAACGGCATTTTACATTTTCACAGAAATAAAATGAAAGTTTCGTTTACAGTAAAAAATAGGTTCTTACACTTTACAGATAAAGCAGATTGTGTACGAATTACGACATTTAATATGGAAAATGCTTTAGACGCTTACAAAAAAATATTATTTTTGTACAAATTACGGACGAATAAAATAGCTGATTACATTTTACACCTTGTCCATGTCTACAAATTTACGTTTTTTTATTTAAATTAATTATTACGAAAATAAAAACAAATGATTACTGCTTACGAAAATACCCCTTGCCGACCCCTTTTCACTATCGCCCGAACAGTTCATTTGTCATCACAACTTATTTACGACACTTCTCAAAAAGCGAGTACTGTCTGTAAAGGCCTAAAAGTGCGCCACGTTGAGAGGCTAAAATGGCAAACCGCCTGAGACTGAAAAAACAGCCTATATCTGTATACACAAATAGGGTGATAGGATTGGATCTAATTGTAAAATGTTTTCGTATTAATTCAAATATTGTTATATGAATAAGTAGACGAATTCTAACACATTAGGGATCATATACCTACCAAACTGTTCAAAACATCATTAGGGGGATAAATAAATAACAACAAGCTAAATTATTCAAAAATGGCGTTTCAATATTCCACATTATATTTAGAAATGTCTCACCTTTCTACTATAAAATTAAGGAGACCAGTACAAGTACATTGTTAACAGACTCAGTTTTAGCAATATTTATGGTAGAAATTACTAGGATGATATTATTCATCAAGTGAATCATAACTGCAAATTTGCGTTAATACGTTTTATATATAAATATAGTACTATCACATAAATAATGCGGATAACTTGACAGGTCAAAGGTCAATCTGTTTTAACGTGACGGTACAATATAAATTGCATAAACTTAAAGCATCATTACTAAATAATAACCAATGTCAGCCTTCTCTCCACTTTAAATAACTGTAAATTTATTTGTAATGATACGGTTGATTAATGACGTCATAAATGATGTGATGCTGTCATGTTTAGATCTGACAGCAAACAGAAAATTACACTTTAAACACGTGATAAAAACGGCATTTTGGGGGGCAACACATCTAAAACAGCAATTAGCATAGGCTAAATAATTCATAATTACATGAATCCGAAAAATTAAATGTTGGCTGCTAAGTAATATCACCCTTGCTGATTTATATTGAGCCAGTGGGTTAATCATGAGAACTCCAGGCGCTCTACCTTGGACGAACATTCTGTCATCGATTTTAGGACCAAATTCTATTATCAATGTGACTGTATATGTATAATATTAGTAAAGTTGTTGTTGTTTTATTTATGGATCTATTGTTATTGAACAAGATGGAGATGGATTTGCTTTTCTCTATTTAGTCAATTTTTATTTACTTTTTCAATAAATTGTTTCTTTAATTGCTGAAGTCACGTGTACCTTGCATACTACTAGTATTTACCGATATGAGAAATGTCGCCATTAATCTACTAGATATAGATTTTATAACACACTGATATACCGATTATAGTAGGGTTTATGCACATATAAAAATAGCATATGAGTACATTTCATAAAAAAGTCCACTTTGAACTATTTTGAGAGTTGAATTTCTGAATTCCCTCGACTCACATTTGAATATATGTGCTTTAATGAATGTCAATCTTACATTCCGGTTATTATTGATGAATACTAATATTTTCGCCCTTTCAGATATTCAAACATCCTGGGTCAGACTTTTATTTTTATTTTTAGTGAATCTTGTACTTATTTTCGTGAAAATATTATTTCAGACACACCATTCTTCTTATCATTCTTCTTATATTGATTCGGTATTTATTATTTTATAGACCTCTTAGATTTGTATTTATACTACAACCCAGATATGCTTACCATATGTGATGTTAATTAATGTTAGCATTAAATAAGTGTATCGCTCAACACAGAAACATTAAGTCCGATAATTGCAAATTCGTATAGCGGCGACACCAAATTGCACGTGTTGAGCACCCCTTAAGCTACTGTTTATTGGCTATCGAGTTGAGGTGTGCTGTATCTAAGCTGTACTATTATGAATAAGAACTAAGTAAACTCAGAGTTCAAACAGTGAAAAATGTCTTGGAAAGTTTGAAAGCTTATATCCAGAAGAGCCACCCGACCTTTCTGCGCGTTCTCCTGCCATACAGGAAAACATTCACCACGATGAGCGAAATTTCAAGTCTGGCTTATAAAAAATACACGTGCGATGGCCTGGTAATATTTTTTAATGGAGTTTTACTAAATAACATTATTGCGTTCTCCCACTACAACAATTAAAATTGGGTAATTTAAATTATTTTTTTAAGTAATCTTGCTTTAATTTTTGTTTTTTCGAAAATTCTGCGGAATTCAATATCCACATTTGATTCATACCATAGAAAATATTACATATCTTTGAGGGTAGAAAGAAATACATGTTAATATTTTAGACACAGCAGCATAAAATCTGGCTGGCGTTGTATTCTGTTTTATGGAGTTTGGGTATCCAATACAAGGTAGACAAGTCATCAATTTGTATTGTGATCAATAAGATTTTCATTTCTCTTAAAAGACAGTCTGTCTTTATAGAAATTTATTTTCCAAATAAACCAAATTGCTATACTAAAGTATACACTAAAGTAACAGAAAATGCGAAATATTGTGAAAACCAAAAGTTGGAGATTCTACAAGGCACGAGCATGACTTTCGAGCAAACATTAAGAAATAAACATGATTTTATTCAACAACTTGTCCCAACTTTTGGCAGACTGTTGATATGTTGTGTAGGGAGATAGTTGTGAAAACAACTTTCTGTTGCAATTTGTGGCAGGTCAGGATTTGTAGCTAAATTGACCGGAAAATGATTGAAAAAAATACTCAAAGATGCGTGGGTAATGGGCGTACAAAATGGTTTAAACGGTCAATCAAAGCAACATTTTGTATTATAAATGTTTATAATTTATAAATGTCGATAAAACAAATTCACGCCTCCATGAAACTTGATGTATATCAGGAACATATATTCATACTTACACACATACATACAAACGACACTTAAAGCCCGACCTGCATGCTGCTTCGCGCAGGCGCAGTTGATTAATAAAATCACATATTAGCCTTTGATGTAGTTTTGCTATTGAAAACAGAATTTCACTTCCATTCTTAAATGAAAATTAATTACGAAGTTTGCAATCTCAATAATCATTATTATACTGTTTTGTCAATTACACATACGTTACCTAACTTATTGGTGATGTCTACTTTTGTGTGAGCAGCCGCTGGTCGAACATGCTTGTGTTTTAGAGCTATTATAGAGTTATATAAGTTGCACCACTGAACACAACAAAAATGAAACTGCTATGTCTTTTAACTTGCAGGGTGAACAGATTTTCACTGATATTTTAGAAGCTGGGACTACAAGGGGCATAAACATACGCATGGTAGAATCGACACCAATAGGAGACAGACAAGCGTTTAAAGATACCGGTGACTTGTCCGATGCCGGTGCGGCGGAAGTAAGACGTTTAGACATGTCTGGATTCATGCAATCCAATACAGGTATCCTACATTCTAAAATGATGTTGGTTGATGGCAAGCATTTTTATATTGGAAGTGCCAACTTAGACTGGAGATCACTGACTCAGGTGCGACTTTTTATATTTCAATCTGCAATTTCAATAATTAGCTGGTGGGGCAATGCGTTATTGCCGCGGCGTAATGGGGAGCGCGTCTTCGTAAGATGATGAGGAGCATCGATTGTTGTGTGTTTATGTTTCTTTTATTTTTAAACATTTTTATTTGTGTCTTAATGTGCCTGTAATTTAAAATACGCACTTACTTGTTTTAATTTTTTGTCAGTCTTTACTTTAAACTGTCCGATTCTTTTAGAAAATATAAATACCTTTTACTGGAGGTACACATGTGAGTATTCTAGAATTTAGTTGAGATAGGGGTGATCGACACATGGAGTCCCATGGTCGAGGTTATAAAACGCCCGTCTAATCCTCAATTGCAGAAAAAAGATCTGGGAGTTATTGTTTACAACTGTAGCTGTTTGGCACAAGATATTGGTAAAATATTTGAGATTTATTGGTATATGAGCTCCCCTGATGCTATTTTACCATTCGAATGGTCAGTGCAATATGATACTCGGTACAATGCCGTGACGCCACTCGAGCTGAAACTTAATAACACAAACGCCAAAGCACTGCTGTCTGTAAGTATACGATTAATACGACTCGGTATAATGACACACAGTATCCATATGGTGCTCGTATGCAGAAAGTTACTAGCATGTCTATAGTTGTTTTTATTGTGGGTGGTATTTGCAGTGTTACTGATTATGTTAATGAGCCGGGGACTTTAAATGTCATGACGTCATACGATTACAGTCTTCCCCATGCTTAATATGTATTCTTGGTCAAATATGAGTGGGAGGGGTCTGAATTGTTTTAGAAAATACACACATTGTCAATGGTGATCAAAATATGTCTTCATTCGGTGGGTTTGTATATTAATTGCAGAGTTCTCCTCCTGAGTTAACTCCCGCCGGTCGCAGTACTGGAATGGACGCGGTTTTGGATGTTATCGGGTCCGCCAAAACGTTTGTCAGCATTAGCGTGACAAGCTATCTGCCTGCTTTGAAAAACAAAAATCCACAGAGGTAATATCGTCATATCGCGAGAGGGCGAGAGACGGGCACGAATATGTTACACATTTTGGAAAGACAAAACGTGTTATGTTTGGGGATAATCTTCATATCCCGACTTCGAGCAAACCGTCCATGTCGACTTAGTTTTTTCTAAATTCGTCTAACGTTAGTGAATGATTCTTGCCAGGTCGCTACGGTGTCTCAAGGAGAACCCTGTTTGGTGTTCTGGTAGGGCTTGAATTTTAGTCTGCTCGGTTTAACAACCATTGTACTACAATAATTATTGTGTATTGTATGCCTCGATACGTTCTACTTTTGTAGGTACTGGTCTCTTATTGATGACAAACTGCGGACTGTAGCCTTCAACAAGAACATCCATATCCGTCTTTTAGTTGATGCAGAGAACAACGCGAGCACAGAAGCAACTAAGTTTCTACACTCGTTAGTTGACCTCGATGGAATAAGAGGAAGAATAGAGATCGTGAGTACGCTGTATATTTCAGTCTGGATTATATTAATTATATTACTTAACCCTTTCATCACTAGACTTTCTCGCCTCAATTTTCCTGCACTTTTTTTTTCCTTGTATTCTTTAATATTTCTGGAAATGAACCAACATTTTTGAGCCAAAAGACAATATTTTTCGTTTTTACTCAAAAAATAATCTCCACTCGTTTTAGTTAACGTTAAAGTCTATGTTGACAGAATAAACAAATGTTCACTTATCAAGTTTATCCAATGTTGTTTACAGAAATTATATACAGTTCCATCGTACACTGAAGAACAGCGGAACATACCACGTGCTCGACTTAATCATAACAAATTCATGGTGACAGACAGAGCAGTATATATCGGTGAGTTATCTCTTTTCCGATGTGGTTTTCAGTACCTGTCTCCATTAAAATAAACATGATTGGTTATACATTGTACTAATCCATAGACCTTAGAATATCTATGACTAAACTATCAAGGCGGGAATATTTGTCCTGTCACACATACTAATCTACAGTATGAACAATTCTATATGGTAATGCCGGCTACTGCAATTCGTACAGAGACTAATAGTTAAAGCAGGGGATTCGTCACCTGCGCACGCATCAGATGGCCATAGCGTGTCATTGTTTACAAACAAGCGTCTACCCATGAGCCTTTGCGTTTTTAGCGTGTGTTGTTATCGTCGCTTGGGACTGAATTACCGCGCATGCGCGGGTGACGGCCCTCCCGCTTTAACACTTCAATGGTAACACAACGAGATGCACCGTGGATATTACGAGAAGTGTTGGCTTTACTTTATGCCTCAATCTTTTTTTCTCCAAGATGAACTAAAGTACATGGTCAATTCAGTGTATATTAGCGTTTGATAGGTGTGCTTAGACTTGTGATTTCGACTTGTGAATTTACAATTCGACTTGTGATTTCGACTTGTGATTGATATCTACCTTACGGTTAGGGATTTAATTTGGTATATCTAATATTTATATTTAATACTTATTACGTTGATGTCACGCGAAAAAGAATATTTCTGGAAGTCTAATTAAATTAGATTAATTACAGCATGTAAATAAAATCATAAATACCAATTTCATGACTCCATCATGATATTGTGTTCACACGGACTGACAGACTTTTAAACTTACAGGAAACTCCGACTGGGAAGGCGATTTTTTTATTAATGATAGTGGAATTGGGTTTGTTATCTATGAAAATGGACAACTACAGCAGCAGTTACTTGATGTTTTTGACAGGGATTGGAACTCACAGTACGCAGCTTCGCTGAATGCAACTCACTGAATCTTAAACCATTGCTTCTTATGTACAAACACAGTTGGATTCCAAGTGCTTCGAAAATAAAAATAAAAGCAATTCTAACATTTATTATCCAAATGCAC